CACTGACAGCTAATTCCACCCCATGGGTTGAGGAATTGATTGTCAAAAGCCAATCTGTAGCCCAACAGAAAAGGAAACAAATAGTGATCCTGCCAAATATTAAGGAATTTAAATGGCACTGCAATCCACAGAGGCATCTGGTCCGGCACTCCAATGGGGGAAGCTGTGGAAGAATCAGATCCTGGAAACCAGAGCCTGCCCACTTAGAGTTACAACTCCACATCAGAACCGTGCAGGTTCCACTGCCTGTGACTGCTTCTGTTTTAGGAATCAACAGTCAACTCGACCGGCACATTCCTGACGCTATTTCCACAATCGGGCAATACTCTACAAAGCTGGTCTGTGACCCCACATGTGCCTGTACCTCAAAATTTGGGCTAAGTTCAGGCTGAGATTCATAACCAAAAAAAAAGCCAAATATCAAATGATTGGTTATGGAACAGAATCAGAGAAGCAAGGGCATCTAAGAGCATCAGATATTGAATGGGGACAGTAATAGATGCCACCTTGATCTTTTTCCCCTGGAATGTACGCACACGCAAGGGACATCGCAGTGATCACCACTGATCACCCTGCTGATTATCACTGACCCTTCGGGAGTGCTCGGTATCTGGGACACATGTGATTTGTCTCTCCTGACGCAGGTGATTATTGGTGGGGATTCTCCAAGAACTGATGCACTGAGGTAGGATTCTAACCACAGGTTTGGAGGAAGGATTGGAATGGGGACAAAACTGCCAGGGAAACTCATTGATGCAGGGTTCACAGAGTACAGGATCAAGAGCAGACCCAAGCCAGCCATCGGTGCACCTCCTCCAGCTTATCCTGAAACTACCCCAGGATCCCACAGTGGGTTACTTTTAAAAAACACATGCAAAACCCTGTACAACAACATACACAGAACTGGTGCCAATGGTGACACACAACGGGATTCCAATTATCAGAGTGGTGCCCTACCACTTAGGAGAATGTATCTCCATCTACCCCACAGATTACTGGGATGGAAAATGGGGACAAACAAGGGTAAGGACAGACCCAGACCAAAACAGGGTAGGTAAAGGGAGCTTATCAATGACCTGATGACAGTGTATGTATGGAGCACCCTTAATATAGCAAACCTAGTCAGCAAGGTTGAAACCTTAACCCAACAATTCAAACAGGATTTGACAAAATACATGAAGACTGGGAATGTAGCTTGCGGCCACAGGGTCATTGTACTTGAAGGACACACCAAAGCTCGAATGCAAATTATCCAGGGGAAAATAGATGATGACCACAGGCAACACAGCAAAATCCTACGTAGCATTCTATGGCCAAGGGTTGATAGGACAGTTGAGGGAGGACCTTAACCAGTTCAGGAAAGGAAAGGTCCAATCCTGGAAAAGTGGCAAATAGATACAGCATCTGTTCTGCAGGGTAAAATACCAAAACATATCGGGCTGCCAACTGTGACAACTAACAAAGGTCCAGTTCAACGACAGTGGTCAAGAGGCTCTGGGGAAAATCTTGAGCATTGTTTTGGGTATTCTGATAATATCAAACACTAAAACTAGAATGGAAATTTTTGTAATACCATTCATAGGCACCGTCTGAGAAAGGATGTGGCTGGGCTACGATAGAAACCTACTGTATGTTGTACAGAGGAAGGAAGGCTGGTAGGCACTACTTTGAGTAAATGCCAGCAAACAGACAAAACAATTGGATATCCATATCCAGTCTATCTGAATGAATATGCCTTATGTGGTTTCCAGGCAAGCACAGCTTAAATTGTACAATAGAAGCCTGCATCCTCAGCACTGATATTACCAGGGTAGCTTATAGAGGGGAGGGGGAATACTGCATTGCCATTTCTCTCCAGGAGTACCAATACATGCACCGCCACCGGCACCACATTTTGCATCATGCCCCACATACCAGGCAGGAGAGGCCTAAATCAAATTGACCAACATACACCAGAGGGAAAAGATCCTCATCAATGCAAGTGAGGAACTCCAGCAGGCCCTGGGGGAATTTTTCAAAAGAGATAACACTGGGATTAACCTCCTGCTGAAGAACTACAACAGATTCAGACCTAATTGGCCAATGCCCACAGAACCTTCATTACATTAGTGGAAGGGGCTGGAGAAATTAAACAAGAAAACATGGAGACTAAGGTTACCAATTGGTGGGATCATTTTTTGGATGGGGTATAAATATGTGAATTCACCTCTGCATTCAAATCCTATCACATTTGTTGGTCCTTGTCATTCTGTTCATTCTGGTTTACATAGCTATACTCATTGTCAAACTTGCATGGTAAAAAAAATCTCTCCCAACATCTGAATGTCAAACCATGTTAAGCAAGCAAGAACAGAGGAGACTGCTCACAATCTCATGGGGTACCTAAAATATAAGCCAACCATTTGCCAACCTGCACTTTCTGATGATATGTCTATCAATAACGTATTGTTGACCAATGCTTCACTGTTCTTCGTTGTATTTATTTGTTGGTATTTATATTTGTATTTTCAATTGCTTTATAGTTTATAGTTTTAATGAGGCTGCCAGCCTAGGTCCCAGGTGCTGCCTAGTGGGAGAATAAGGTAAGAGTCATGTGATCCTATTTCACTAACGCTCATTTGAATCAAGAGGAGGACTATTGCCAGATAGCCTAGGAACTGAATGGCTAGGTTTGATACCAGAATGGGCAACTTGAACAGTTAGGCCCAATGGAACTTTCAAGACAGGTCAAGTATAAAAGCATCTGCAGAAGACAAAGGCAGACAAGGATTTGTCTGGACTTGCCCTGGAAAACGAGACTGGTTTGTATATTGGAGTACAACGAGCAGACTTGCCAGGCTATGACCATGCCATGACCGCCATGCCCATGTTTGTACCTTTGACACATCAAAGAATGGTCACCAACAGCAGCCTCAGTATCTTTCATAATGGCATCAGGGATCCACTGGAAGCCATGATTTTGACCTAAAAGATCGATTAGCTGGGGGCCAGAGAACATCTGGAAGGATGCAACAGGGAGGAATAGGAAGGATTACTTGGCAGCTATCCCCTCAGTAAAGACTCGACCTGGCCCAACAAAGGAGCTCCAACAACCTGGTGAGAGACAGAGGATGATTACTTGCAAGACCAACCTTTGCCAAGTTCATCAGCCTACACAGGCTGGCTAAGTTCAACGATATGGATCATATCTAATCCTAGTCTGGTATCCAGTAATAGTCTGGATAAGGATTACGACAAAGACATAACATTGCGATTGGTACAGCAATTAATCTAAGAATCAGGAGTTTTATTGCAAAAGAGCAGGGTTTTACATAACATTCAGTCATACAGACCCTTTTGTATCTTTAGTGTATTTTGTGAATATTTTGCATTGAATTGCAAGTCATCTCGAACCCTTTTGTTTATTTCAATGGTATGGGTGTGGCTGGAATGTCCTTCATAGGGTCAGTGCAGATTCGGTGGATGAAAATAGCCTTTTTCTGCACACTAGGCATTTTATGAGGAAGGGTCTCGACCCGAAACATCAGCTTTCCTGCTCCTCTGATGCTGCCTGGCCTGCTGTGTTCCTCCAGCTTCACACTGTGTTATCTTAGACTCAAGCATCGGCAGTTCTTACTATCTCTATGATAAAGAGGCCATGTTGCAGCTTCTGTGATAGTACCTCAGTAAAATGAGTTTACATAGAAACTGGTCAAAATGTCCAAAGCGCGGTCAACGGAGGTTACCAAGAGAAAAAACTGAAAGAACTGTGGATGCTGTAAATCAGGAACAAAAACAAAGTTGATGGAAAAGCTCAGCAGGTCTGGCAGCATCTGTGAAGGAAAAAACAGAGTTAAAAGTTTCGGGTCCGGTGACCCTTCCTCAGAGGGAGGAACATTTAACTCTGTTTTATCCTTCATGGATGCTGTAGGGGTTACCAAGAGAACAGTTACTAGTAATCTGCAGCAGCTTGATTGCTCCTTCATTGATGGATGAACATTAAATTAGCTTTTTTTCAAAAATGTTTTTTTTTCAGTGAGCAGTAAGTTTCTACCAGTCTCTATGGTCTGCATATGAATGAAGTTTGTCTGCTTTCTGTTTTAACAAAGGATCATGTATCTCTCTGAACTTGCACTCTTGTTGATATTTTAATTGCGTTATGCTTGGATGGTGATGACTTGTCATTGAGATAAAGCCTGTAGAAGGAATCTTTCTCCTTCAATATTTTCTGGATAACTTCGTAGTTTTCACCAAATGAATCTTGATGCCTTTAAGAGGTAGGGCCAACTCTTCTTGTGATACTGAAATCAGGAGGATTCATTTTAATGGTCCATTAAATCAGGACAATGTACAGCAAGAAAGTACTTCAGTCATTTTGAATGGCAAACTGGTGCACCATACAAACATTTCCACCAAGAATGACACAATCCACAACAATAACAATGAACAATAATCATAAAATATGGTGAGTAGCAATCTCAACTGTACCTATTCTGAGCAGAAACCAGGGTGATTCTGAAATAAAGAAGAACACTTCCAAACAAATTATTACAAAGCAGCAAAGGGAACAGCTAAACAGTAGGTCACTTAATTGCACTTTTAGGCAGAAATATACTTGACAAAGGAGTAGCTAAGGGAAACATGTAAAAATGCAAAGTAGAAGTGCAAAACACAATAGTTCTGCATCTACATGGGTATCTTCATTTTAAAAAATAAGCTTATTGCAGGGATACAAAAGTCTGTGAAGCTCCTAAATCAATGCTCCATTGGGTTCCTGTGTTTTTCTGACTATCCGAAAATAATTGCTGTTTGTTTTTAGGTTCAGAATTAAAGTTGTATATTACGTACATCATTCAATTGTCATCATGGGTGAAGTTAGTATAGGAGACAATTAATTGGTTGTGTTTTTCTCTTATGTTATTACATATTATTGGAAAATGCTTTGTTTTCTCTTAACAGTGCACACAGATAAAGTATGAGTCACTCATATATACAGAAATATAGACTATTAAAACTCATACCTGAGCGTAACAGGCCTCTTCTATTGCTAAACCAGTTTTCAAATCAACCTGGGAAGGAACAAGCAGTTGATAGCTTTTTTTTTCAAAAACAAAGACAGCGTTAATTACATTTTATATCTTTTACCAAAGATTCCATATTTATTGTTCTGACCGAAACTATAAGCATAAAAAAGTGTTATGTCCTTTCTAATGAATACTTTTTGATCTGATATTTGACTTAATCCACCTCAGCAGCATTTTCATCAGTGCAAATTATAAAATAACTTGTGACTGAAAAAGTCACTTTCAATATATACTGAACCTACACACCCAGCCATCATCAGTTTCACGGCCTCATTAGACAACATTGTCTGACAAAAATAAATCAGAAAATACCAGATGTCCACATGCAAATGTCACTGAAGAGAAATTTATCAACTGCGCCCTGTTCACTCAATTTTTGCTTTCCATAGAGTGAGTGATAAGAATTTCGGTCCTTTCAGGTAGAGTGTCTATCACTTGCTTGATGCAGCACCTTAGAACATTTTTCTATGGAAAGGCAGTGTGCAAATTTAGTTAATTATGTTGCCATGTCCCTTGGGTGATTTGGAAAGATCTTATAGGGTAAAACCTTTGTGCTGGGCCTACCTTAAGTATTGCTCAGATGCTGAGATGCTGTTATCCTACTTGTGATCTTCGTGTTTTTCTATCAGGACTCCACGTGTAATGTTTAATCTCTAATTTCACAGATCTCTAATTTGACAGTGTAACAACAGTTGCTCCATGTGATCTAAAATTGTGCTTTTCACATTTACAATCTTTTAGTCACTAGGCCAAAAACATTTCAGTGAAGTGAGGCCATATATAAATCATTAGCTGTTTTATTTCACAAGTAAGTGAAGAGGATAGTTGATAACAAGGTGTAGAGCTGGATGAACACAGCAGGCCAAGCAGCATCATAGGAGCAGGAAGGCTGACGTTTCGGGCCTAGAC